ATTTTAAATTGCAAAACATGCACATCTGAGAAATTAAAATGTAAAAGCATATTGTATACATATATCAATAATGCAAGCTTCAATTCAAATCTTTCATAATTCTCTCTTGTTTCCACAGATGCTACCTGACCTTAAAGCAGACAACCAGAGGCTTAAGGATGAAAATGGGGCCTTAATCAGAGTTATCAGCAAACTTTCCAAATAATCTGAGGTTTTACTGCAGCAGCGATTTTTATTGGCATTGCACATTGTAACTCCAGTGGAACACAGTGTGGCTGACACTGGATGTTGAAACTTAGGGGCATGAGATTGGATGTTGAGGCATAAGGGGGGATTATTCCATGGCAAGTGTAACTATCAGAAAATCCTGCCAAACAACCTCTTACCTGCCCCCTTCCTCCCTGTTTTTGTACAAAAAGACAAAAAACAAATTTTGTATTAAAGTGCAGCTGATGAGGAGAGAAAATGACTATGAATTCTTGTTTACAGTTATAAGGTGCAAGGAAAGTGTTCAAGGCCAGACGCCTCCGATATTTAACCAGTAAGCCTTAGTTGTACATACGCCTTTTGCAATCAGAGAGCTTTCTGCTACCACAGAAGACAGTTACAACACAGATTTTGTTGTGCCACACACATCCATTTCCTTCCCACTTTTAGATCTTTATTTTTTTTTTTTTGTTCGTATTTTAACTTTGAGTGTGCCAGTGTTGTTTTTTGGGGGGGGTTTTCTTTTTCTTTTTTAATAAATACACTGCAGATACTGCTTACTGATTTATTGTTGCGCTCCATAGACATTTTGCTTGCTTTAACACCAGCTCCTCATTGTGACCTTTGGCTGCCCAGAGCATAACCCGGGGGGCATTTGCATTCATTGTTTGTGCAAAATGCATTTATATCATGAAACTGAAAGCTAGCACTGGTTTTTTTTTTTTGTTTGTTTGTTTTGTTTTGTTTTTCCTCCTTGCCATCACTTTTTCTTTAAAACAAAAAGCAAAGTTTATACAATATGCTATAGTTTCCACACACATTTTTTTTTTTTTTTTTAGCAGGTACTGACTGTGTGTATGTATATATTATATATGTGTGCTTGTATATATAAATATATATAGATAATCTAGTCTGTGTCTATATATAAATATATATATGCTGATCCTGTATTGTTTCCAGACCACTGTGTGGCATGCTCAAATCATCCCTTTCTGCAACGTCTGTTACTTCAGGTTAGATTGTTCCTAAATAGTGATCTTAATAAAGCTCAGTAATTTTTATGGTATAATGTCTATTTTATGGAGGCGTGACTTTAGAGATCTAATTGTAAAATATTCTGATTTTCGTTTTTAAGTCACAATTATTAAAACGTATGTTACCGTTTCACTACATTTCATATTTCTTTTGAGTGCTGTCAAAAAAAAGAAATTGTGCTAGCTGTAGAGTGATGTCACTATGCTTGCTCCCAGCGCACTCTATAATGTATATGCACTGTTGCCATGTCAGAAGGCATGTAAATGAACACACCATCATATGTTTTCTACATTTCAGTGGCCTTTTTTTGCAGAAAGTAACCAATATTATAAATGTATGAGTATACAGCTAAGTCAGGATTGTTTTTGTTATAGAACGCTTTTTATATTTTCACTGATCCATGAAGACGATGGCTTATTTACTGGCACATAAACTATCTAATCCACTGAAACAGCTCAACCGTTAAAACAAAACTGTAAATTGTAAAGCTTGCAGCAGCTATTGTATTGTTGATTATAATGTATACTATATTAAATGTGAATTTTTACCCCTTCCATTTACAAAAAAAAGGTCATTGTGATCAACTGCCTATTTTTATTTTATTTTTTTGTGGGTTTTTATTTTTTTTCCCCCTCTTTTGGCAATCCAAACTTGATGTTGTCATTCTTTTGGTTTATTAGTTTTCTGAAGATACAGTCTTGCTCGTACTGCCAAGCTCAGGATTTCTTGATAATTTTATTAAAGGTACAAAGATAGTCATTATGTTCTTTTGATTATGTATGTGGGGTGTCGGGGGGTTTCAGTCAAAACTGTACTGCAAAATGAATTGCAGGTTTGTGGGTCTGCAAGATACTGTGTGACGAAGAGAAATATTCTATGGATAATATTTGGAAAAGCATGGGTGTCTGTGAAGAAAGATTAAATATTTCTAATTTAGTATTTTATATCTAGGTTATTTATTCTTTATCGAAAACAGATTGGCTGCTGTGCTACATTGGTTTTTATTGGTAGTACAGAGCAGGCTTTGTATCTGCATGAAACTAGTTTAACCAAATTCTTTTTTTTGTTTTCCAAAAAAAAATGTATTTTGACATATACAAATAAAAATGAATAAAACTATTTTCAATGTGTGCATCGCCATGTCAAGGGGTAATTGTATTGCAGCCTTTTCAACGTATGCATTGTTGGGCATTAAATATTGTTAGTAATCTGAAACGTTTCAGAAAAGGATGTCTGTACACATTGCATTTGCATGTGTTTAGTTTGGGTGAAATTTTCCTATATTTACACTGCTTGTGAAATAAAGAAAATGGTGCAAAATAACTTTGAATTTTCCCATGCTCTTAACATAAGATGGACAACGCTATAAAATTACAACTTTCAGGACTTGAATATGAAGAGTGATTGATTACTTAATTCTGCATATAATCAGATATTAGACATTACAAAATCACAGCGCTTTTCTTAAAAAAAAATAAAAAAAAAAAAAAAAGGTATTGAAACTACTGTTAGTAACAAAAGTTAGATTTTAAATCTGAAAGGAACATTATAGTCACCAGAACAACTACAGCTTATTGAATTTGTTCTGGTGAGTATAATCATTCCTTCAAGCTTTCTTCTGTAAACACTGTCTTTTCAGAGAAAATGCAGTGTTTACATTACAGCCTAGGGATCCTCCACTGGCCACTCCTCGTGGCTACTGAAGGTGCTTCCTGGCATTTAGCATTTTCACTCTCTGCATGGAGACACTAAACTTTCCTCATGGGGATGCATCGATCCAATGCATCTCTGAGGAGATGCTGATTGGCCAGGGCTATGTTTGGCTTGTGCTGGCTCTGTCCCTGATCTGTCTCCTTGGCAGTATCAGCCAATCCAATGTTTTCCTGTGAGAAAGCATTCTGATTGTCTTTGAATAACACTTCTGATGATGTCAGCCAAGCAGGCATATCAGGAGCAGAGCCAGTAGCAGCAGACTGGAATAAAAATAAGATTTTACTATGTTTAGTGGGGCAAGGGGTGAGGGTCAGATAGTGATATTAAAACTACAGTTTCAGTAATACAGGTTTGTGACTTTATAGCAGGCTTACCCAAACTCCAGCCCTCCAGATGTTGCTGAACTACAAGTCCCATTATTCTCCGCCTATCTATTTAATTCATAGAATCATGGGAGTTGTAGTTCAGCAACATCTGGAGGGCCAGAGTGTGGGGAAGCCTGCTTTATAGTATTCCTTTAAAGTGACCAGGTCTTGGCAGGTTCACTTTAACATGTAACAACTCATGACAGTAAGTATATAATTTATTATTCCACTTGTAGACACTTCCTCACATTGTGAAATGTTTGCTGATGAGGACAGCATGCATCGTTACTAGCACATTGGCATCAGAGGATCCTATTACTCCCTCTGCAAGCATGAGAAATGTGTGATGGAGAGCAGCTAAGATGCTTCTCCTGCTTTTCCTATCCGTCACCTGGTTACACCTGTATGCTGCTAGCTTATAGAGGTCCATGCAGAGAACTAATGGGAGATTGGCCAAATATTTAAAGTGTTATAATAGTATCTTTACTTTTGCTCTCATCATGTGGAAGTGACGTTTAATGCCTTTTTTAATATTTGCCTTAGTTGTGTGTAACATTACTTTAAAACATTATGAGGTTCACAATAGTGTGCATTCTTTATTGGGTATTATTTATTTACCTGAATATCTATATACCCAAGAGATAAAAATGTAGCAGACCACAGGCAGTGAACTGACATGCAAGGAAAATATATGCTGGGAATCAAAATGAAACCCTTCATCACCTAGATCCATTAACCCAGGATTTAGCTGTGAAGCTTTGTATCTATCTGCCTCAGGCACTAACCTGTGACCTTAGGTGGCATGTGCTCAATGCTTAAGTGTTCTTCTACTACCAAGTGAATAGATGGGACTATTTTATGGTCTAACGAGGTCAGCTCAGAGTGGAGATCTATTGAAAACTGGTCAGTAATTTTCACAGAGGAGATTCAACTTGGTGCATGTCCTCCAACTCCTTATTTTTTCCCAGCATGCATTTGGTGTGCGTTTTTATATTGTTTGTGTGCTACCATTTAAATATAATAACTTTTGAAATATAACAAACATTTACTATTGACCTTAAAAGGTTACGCCACGCACCATGACCTCTTCAGTAATGACTTTCCCCTCAACCTGTCCTTCAGGATGTTACTCCATTTGCAGCTAAGGGGAATGACGACACTGGTGGAGGATGAGACTGCAGTTTTTGCTTTCTTTTCTTTTGTTTTACAGGGGTGCATGGTACCATTCCACCAAGGCTTACTCCATCCAAAAACTAAGTTTTATTAAGCATTTAATGGTGATCAGCTGTGCAGTAACATAATTTTAAAAGGTTACTCAAACCACCATAACCAATTCTGCTCTTTAAAATGGTCATGGTGGAAGGAAGCTGCATGTGTATTGTATTAAGTAGGAATAAGAGTTTCACACTCAGCGATACTAGCACTTTTGTGCCCAAAGGCTAGTTACATCACTGGCATATTTGACATAGACACCCCTGAAGACCGTTATGGACTGCCTAATTATGTACAAAATAAATCCACATGCTGCCTGCAAGGGGAAGTCTTGATCTCACCCTCATTTTCATATGAGCTCTTTGCCATCCACGTATTCATATAGTGCTATTTCTTTTTTTTTTATTATGCAGATCACTGTAAGAGTGCCCTCATGACTTCAGCACTCTGAATTATCAACGAGCGCCAGGAGATCTTGCGGTGGGAGCTAAAAAGTGACCTGTGTCTGATATTGGTACAAGCCACCATGCTCCCTCTGTAAAGTGAAGAAGCTCCAAGTCTAGACAGGGACCCTAGGTGTAATAATGTCACTTAAAACGTAACCTGGCTCTTAGTAGTAATGGTGCTTGGAGTGACCCTTTAAATGCAATGGATAGCTGGAGAATTATGGGAGTTATAGTTAAGAAACAGCTGAGGAGATGTCTGCACTATAACATTAAAGTGGTTGTCACACCTCGAGTCCCTCGATGCCATTCCTCCATTCAGTGTTAAACCATACTGTAATGGATTACCATTCAGTGTGGGGTTTGTACAACCACAGCTTGGTCGCTTTATGCTGCTTGGGCTAATGCTTCTCCTTTAGCATGAACAGCCATGGGTGGTAGTGATTGACTGAGAGCATCAGCTGTTTTCTTTAAGCCTAGCCCAGCCACCCATAGTTCAAATTGGTATGGCTAAAGCAGAGTGTAGTTTGTGCCTTAGCCATACCCACCAGTGGTATCTGAGCTGCTGTCCGCAGAGGACCCTCATTCAGCATTTGAAAATGATTAAGCATTGCATGGAATGTTGACATTAGGCATTATAACCACTTAAATGAGACCATTTATAGTGCCTAGATGTCCCTTTAAGTCTGCTCAGTTGGAAGGGGCATGTGAAAGTTTTAAACATTGGAGGCCAGTTTACCGTTACTGATAATCATCGGACATGGTTGCATCTACTCCCATTTAATGACTTCTGGCAATACACAGAATAAAGGGCCAGAGAACAAAACATACATCAGAACATTCAACACCTGATAACACAATGATGATTGATAAAGCAAAAGCCTGAAACAGTAATTACCAACTGTCCATCCTTTGGTTGAAGTGAACCTATTGTGTTACTACTGGTTCATCAAAGGTTATTGAACTCTAACCCCCTGGGTGATTACTTTAATTGGTGGGATGATTACCCTGAAGATGTCTGTGCTGATACTTGGTACTAGGATGTATGATCTTAATCTGGAACATGCATTAAAATGCAGTAAAAGAAAGTTTCTGCATTTGCTGCAAACACCAAGCTTTACAGCATTTGTAATAGTTCTGATTGTAAAGTAGCTCAGTAACTGAATGTGCTGGTAACTTTTGATCCCCTTTCGCACACACAACACACATTTCTGTGTGAATGGTACAATTCACTTGGTACATGTGATATAGTTTGACAGATGAGGTGTGAAAATAGATCCTTGCAACCTCCATCAGTACCTTCATCAGTTGACCTACACAGTATAGGGAAATATATATATATATGATTCTGTCATCACCAATAACAACCTGTGTGATTAATACCTTGCAAAGTTCTGTCTTGTCTCATCCCCCAACAACAATACAAACATACTTCTTGCAGTCTGGCTGCCTGGTTAAACAGATAATGTAATATGCCCATAGCTGGAGGCAGTGGGCTAGAACCCCAAGCACAAACACACAGTTCTAGCAAACACCATGCACTACTCCAGCTTGGTGCCTTAATGCTCTGTCACAAGACCTCTCCACTCACTCAGAAAAATAGGGCTGTGAGACTTGTGATGTCATTTACTAAAAGGTCTTCTCTTCTTCAACCATATTCTTGCCAGACCCCCAGAAACGGCCATCCAGTTCGACAGAGCAGCAAGGCCCAGAAATCTACCCCCAGACAGGCCACGAGACATATGCAGAATACATAACTTACCTCTGAAAGAGGAGCTCTTTCATAAAGCCTGCCAAAATAAAGAACTGTCGACGGCCATCAGGTGACCGTGTTCCAAGACTTATCACCGTCCACTCTGCAGGCAAGAAGGGCCTTACGACCTATCACACAGGCTCTAATGGAAAGACAAATCAAGATCAGGTGGAACTTCCCATTTGCTTTAACAGTGACCTATAAGGATAAGACCCACACCATTACTACGCCAGCGGATATACCCGACTTCCAGAGGGACTTGAATCTGCCACCATCCGAGGTGGAGGACTGGACCGGCCTGTCAGGTCCCCCACCAAAGCAGACGCAGCAACGACCTAAATGGCAGAGAACCCTGAGGAAGAGACCCAAAAAGGAACCGATGCCCATGCCTCGCCTGGAGACAAAGCAACCTAAGCACCGGCATGGTCAAACAAGCATATCCTTTGTGTTAATTCTAAACTCTGTGCCTTAAATTTGCACTAAACTGTGTATAAGATTAAGATGTTATACTATCCTATTGCCAATGTTATGTTATGTTTATAGAATGTAGAATATGCCGCTACCAGGCCCCTCTGGCCCTAGACACCAGCAGCACGGTTATAAGTGAGTTAAAAGGGCCCACAGGGACCTGGCCTACAGGGTGAAGACAGGCCTATAACCTGTCCCCCACTCCCTTACTAGCTAGAGGAGTGGGGGGCATAGCATAAAATTGTCAATCACCCTAAGGGAACCCCTGCTGGCCCTCGGTCAGGCCACCTTGGTCACCACCCCCAGAGAGGCGCCCCGACACAACTTGTGGAAATGAGAAAGTTACCCACAAGTGGACCGCAAAACTCACTCCAGATATGAAATCCTCATATACTGTACAAAGTTCAAGTTCCCCAGTTTACCCCATTCACACCACTCCTGCCTACATAATCATGAACTGCGCTACAATAGAAGGCGCACTCCTAGGGTCCCAAGCTAAAACAAGAGGTCGCGCATCCCGTTATCATGGCCCAAACTAAACTCATGTCCCTGAATGTACGGGGACTAAACTCCCCCATGAAGAGAACGATGCTAGCACACGAAATAGACAGGCAGGGAGCTGACTTAGTCTTCCTGCAGGAAACCCATTACAGGGGAGAGTTTAAACCGAAACTTAGATCAAAACGTATTCAAGTGTCCTACTATAGCAACAATGTTAAACAGAAATCTAGGGGTGTGGCGATTTTGATTGCATCCACCGCAGCCTTTACCGAGATCAGCGTCAAAACTGACCAAGGGGTAGGTTTGTGTTTGTGATGGGGATATACAATGGAGTTCTTACAACACTGGTGAGTGTTTATGCTCCAAACTCAGACCAAGTACCCTATATACGCTCTTGCCTAGCCAAGTTAGAAGGTTTTGTTGAGGGAGCTGTAATTGTAGCGGGAGACTGGAACATGGTGCTAGACCACTCAATAGACAGTTCATCTAAGACTACAGACCCTCGACACCGCCAGCGGACACTGTTCTCCAACGTGCTCCACGCCCATCAATTAATGGACAGCTGGCGCATATTACGCCCTCAAGAGAGGGACTACTCCTATTACTCCCGGGTAGCGAACAGCTACTCCAGAATTGACATGTTTTTCCTCAGCCATAGACACCTTCCCCTACTGAGCGAAGCATCAATAGGCAACATCACGTGGTCGGACCATGCCCCAGTTTTCTTATGTCGCCCTTCAGAGAGATCCCAAATATACCACACACTGGCAACTGAACGAGACCCTGCTAGATGACCTGAGACAGACAATAGGCAACTACTTCACAGACAACGACACAGGAGTGGTATCCTACCAATGGGTCTGAGAAGCACACAAGGGACCTGCGAGAGGCACCCTAATTAATAGGATCAAGAATTAAGAAAGAACGCACACATAAACTTAACTCCCTTACAACGGCCATACACCTCGCTGAATCCCTGCACAAACAGGACCCTACAACCGAGAACTTCCAGAAACTCACGGCCCTCCGAATAGAAATGCGATCATTATTAGCCCTTAAAGCACACAGATCGGTCCAGGTGACCAGGGGCTCCTTTTATACCCAGGGTAATAAATTCGGGAAACTATTGGCCCGAGCCCTAAAAACTAAACATCAGAGGTCATTTATCGCCAAAATTACCGACAAAACAGGGAAACAATGCAATACCACAGACGACATAGCTACAGCATATAGTACCTTTTATGAAGACCTCTACAATCTAGACCCACCAAGTAAGCGACCTAACAACCTGAGGGAATATATTACCTCAAACCTTCCACATACTATCCCCAACGACACAGCGCTCACACTCGATGAGCCATTCTCCCCAGCAGAACTATCACTAGCTATTAGGACTCTACCAAAAGGTAAGAGCCCAGTCCCGGACGGAATGACTGCAAGATACTACCAAACACTTGCACAGGAGTTAATCCCTCACTTTCTTAAGTCACTAAACTGCCTGGCCCAGGACAACCCACTACCACCCCCGATGTTGCGTGCATCGATCACTATTATTCCCAAGCCGGGCAAAGACCCCACAAAGTATGGGAGCTACAGACCCATCTCATTGATAAACTTGGATCTAAAACTAATGGCGAAAATGATCGCTAACCGACTTAAACCCTTATTACCGGGACTAATCCACCCTGATCAGGCCGGCTTTGTGCCTGGACGCGAAGCCAGGGACAATACCACAAAAATCCTAAACATCATACATGGGGCAACTGTAACGGACACACCGACACTGCTCATGGCAATAGACGCTGAAAAGGCATTCGACAGGGTGGATTGGTCCTATCTCTTCACGGTCCTGGAGGTCCTGGGGACTGGTCCGAGACTAAGGAATTGGATACAAAACTTACACAGGGGACCGTCCGCCAATGTCAGGGTCAACGGCCACTTATCCACACCCTTTCAGATAAATAATGGTACACGCCAAGGATGCCCCATTTCCCCCCTCCTATTTGTCCTAGCTATGGAACCCTTCCTTACGGCTATCAGGAATAACAACAACATACGGGGGCTCCGGTACCGTGGGGGAGAGACGAAGGTATCCGCATTTGCGGACGACGTCCTCTTCACGATCACTGATCCAATCAACACCCTCCCACAGATCCAAACGGAGATTGGAACTAGTGATGTCGCAAACCGTTCGCGGCAAGTTCGCGGACGGTTCGCGACATCACTAATTGGAACCTTTGGGACATGATCTAATTTTAAGATAAATGCGGACAAATGCGAAATCCTGGGGATTTCTGTATCCCCTTCCCTACAAACACGGATACAATGCACGCACACCTTCCCTTGGACTCGAACCGGACTAACCTACCTGGGAGTTAAGCTAACCACATCGCCCAAGGGCCTATACAAACTTAACTATCCCCCCTTATAAGCAGCATTAAACAGGACCTCCACAAGTGGGATCTTCCCCACTTCTCCCTAATGGGTCGGATCAACATCTTGAAAATGATGGTCCTACCGAGAATACTTAACCTGTTCCAGGCACTGCCAATTCCCCTCCCTAGGGACTTTTTCAGACAAATGCGAACCTTATTTATAACATACACCTGGGGCAACAAACCGGCCAGAATAGCCTACTCCACACTGACATCCAACATAGGCAGAGGAGACCTGGGTCTCCCCCACATATACAAATATTATGTAGCAGTATTATTTACCCGCATAAAGGAATGGACAAACACAAGCGAGAAAAAAATCATGGTATTAATTGGAACAGAGCTTTGTACGGGCTCCTCTCCATACATTACCATGGCAAACTTGTCAACTCAAGGAACTCTCCCCAATGCATCACCCACTCACACACAATGTCCTCACAACATGGAGACGATACAAAGACAAATGGGGACTATCCCCGGGACTATCTAAGTTTTTCCCCTTAGCAGGCAACCTAGACTTCCAGAGAGGACAGGGGAGCTCTACCCTAGTAAGGCTTACAGGATCGCCGAACCCAGACATCACTGAGGTTCTGACAGCCGGGGACCCACCCACATTAAAAGCTCTCCCTAGACAGAACAGACAGGATACACTCCTCGATATTATGGGCAGAACACAACTTAAGAACTTTTTAAATAGGTCGGTCATCCCCTTTTGGCGTCCAAGAGATACTACTCCCTTTGAAAACCTATGTGGCCCAAAGAGCGACTCAAAACGACCCCTATCAAAAATATATCGCATTATTCAGACAACTGAAGTCGAGCATACACCACCTACATTCCAACAGAAATGGATGAGAGACTTCCATATACATATGACGGACAGGGACTGGACAGACAGACATGGAAACAGGGATTAGAACCCCTATCAGTGTAGCCCGTAAAGAGACCTTTTACAAAAGAGTCACTAGATGGTACAGAACGCCAGCTATACTCCACACATTCTGGCCCACCGTCAGCGACACATGCTGGAGATGCGCTGGGGGTCAGGGAGACATGGAACACATCTGGTATAATAAAAAGCATAAAAGCATACTGGCAGTACATACTGGATGACATAGCGGAAATTCTCGCACTGCAAACCCGTCTGACCCCATCCCAGGTACTACTGGGCTGGCCTCGCTCCTTTAAGGAGCCACACAAACAGCAACTCCTACAGATTCTGCTCGGGGAAGCCAATGCTCTCGTGCCAACGCACTGGCGCCGACTCAGTGTGCTATCCAGGGAGCAGTGGGTACGGCGGGTAGAATGTGAGAGAGAAATGGAAGAAATACACTGGTCAGTACTAGGGAGACGGCACAAATACCTTAAAACATGGGAGCCCTGGATTGAGTTTTGGAGGAGCCCCCCAGGGATGGCCTCACCCACACCCCCCTAGCCAAAGGGCGATCACCCCTACTTAGACCGGGACTGTCAAAATAGGACCATTGGAGTACCGACAAGGACCGAATTAAGCATCACCAGGCAGGACAAATATTCCCCCCCACCCTTCCCCCACTACCCTTCCACCCATCCAGGTTTACTCCCCTATAGGACACCCACGCCATAGTAATACATCCTCATAATGGAAACGAGATAAGCTGTAAACACCTTGCACTCTAGAACCATATCCGGTACGCCGGAACCTCACAATGAAGGTCGCCCACGCAGCCGAATAGGACGAATAGAGTTATCATTGGTATTTAACTATGTGCAATTGTACTACAATACCCTACTATGTTACATCTAAACGATCCTTCTTTTTTTTTCTGTACCCCGTGACCTTTACGCTTTTGAAAATAAAGAAAAATGTATATTTAAAAAAAAAAAGTCTTCTAGCTCCTTTTTGTTTGCAAATTATTTTATTACATAGACAAATAGAATGTGACGGCAGCTAAGAACCATTCGGCCCATCTAGTCTGCCCAATTTTTTAAATACCTCCATTAGTCCCTGGCCTTATCTTATAGTTAGGATAGCTTTATGTATATCCCACGCATCCTTAAACTCCTTTACTGTGTTAACCTCTACCACTTCAGCGGGAAGGCTATTCCATGCATCCACTACCCTCTCAGTAAAGTATTACTTCCGGATATTATTTTTAAACCTTTGCCCCTCTAATTTAAGACTGTCTTCGTGTTATGGTAGTTTTTCTTATTTTAAATATAGTCTCCTCCTTTACTGTGTTGATTCCCTTTATGTATTTAAATGTTTCTATCATATCCCCTCGTCTTTCCTCCAAGCTACACATGTTAAGATCCTTTAACCTTTCCTTATAGTTTTATCCTGCAATCCGTGAACCAGTTTAGTAGCCCTTCTCTGAACTCTCTCTAAAGTATCAATATCCTTCTGGAGATACGGTCTCCAGTACTGCGTGCAGTACTCCAAGTGAGGTCTCACCAGTGTTCTGTACAATGGCATGAGCCCTCTTTCTACTGCCATTACCTCTCCCTATACAACCAAGCATTTTGCTAGCATTTCCTGCTACTCTATTACATTGTCTGTCTAACTTTAAGTCATCTGAAATTATTACCCCTAACTCCCTTTTCTCAGAAGGGTATCAAATATTCTGTACTATGCCCTTGAGTTTTTACGCCCAAGATGCATTATCTTGCACTTATCCACATTAAATGTCAGTTGCCACAACTCTGACCATTTTTCTAGTTTACCTAAATCATTTGCCATTTGGCTTATTCCTCCTGGAACATCAACCCTGTTACATATCTTAATTTCATCAGCAAAAAGACATACCTTACCACAAAAGCAAAAACAAATTCACCCACCTCTTAGTACCACTTCTTCATACTTTGGTCCTGGTGGAACATCAAAGCCAAATGCCCTGAAGTAACCGACAAACAAGAAGATCCTAACCCACAGGTGTCTCTTGCAGCAGTACATGAGCCACCGATATGGCTGACCGAACAACATTAATCAAGCGAGAAGAGAGACAAAAGAAAATTCTGCACAGAGGAAACAGGCAGTAAAGGGATCGAGACCCCATCCTGTGCACCAACCGGACCAAAATTGTCAAGCGGAGAAGTATCATCATCTCGTCTCTGGCCAGGAGTCCCACAGAAGATCCCTAGCTGCCTGTGCTAATTAACTAACTCACAAGGAACCCCTGAAAGAGTTCAAACAGCCAGGGCGATGCGTCCGAATTCGGCTCCCTGAATCCGTTAGTAGGAGAGGATCCTCGCAAGGTAGGGACAGACGATTAGGGAACCAGAGTTGATTTGGCCACAGCTGAGCAAGAAGACTCACAGTTAACCTTTGCAAACAAATCTGATGGGGGCAGAAAGGTGTGCGCTCCCCTGCTTGGCCATGTTTGCAGGAATGTGTCTACTGCCGTACTCTCCAAATCAGGTAGCCAACAGTAAAAGTCTGGGGATCTGACAATTGTTGTGAGAGACAAACCCGTCTAGGTGAAACGGACCCTTCCAATAATCCAAGGCAGTAAATACTTGAGAATCCAATTGCCAGTTGCTGCCATTCCTCCAGTGGCCAGAGATAGCGAGGTTGTTCTTCCCCAGCCTCCATCAGTGCTGGGAAGACAATAGTTGAGGTCCGAAAGTGCCCCGATGTTCTAGATGTAACGCACCATCTAAAGCAGAATACAACAATTGTATCTCCTCATCGCTAGGCTGTGAATTGCGAACGAGCCTGCCAGAAGCCTCAGACAGTTAATGTGCATGGAGAGTTCTTGAGCCACCCATACTTCTCCAGTGGAGGAATTGCCATCGGTGGCTCCCTAGCCCACAGACTGGTGTCCAACTCCAGAACGAAATCCAGCCAATTGCAAAAAAACTGCCCAACCATTCAATGCTTGCATGCTGTCCAGCCACCAATGAAGTTCTGACACTGGGACTAGTTGTGGAGTTGTGGAGTTCTTCCTTAGAAATCAAGCTTTGAGGAGGGCAGGATCTGTGCAAGTAAGCGGAGCGGTATAGATTTGCGCCATAGCACCCTATGAATCTCCTTGTAAATAGCGGAAACCTTTGAAGAAGGACGTTGCAGAGTACAAGACTTTGAATCTGTTTTGAAAACCAGGATGAAACCCAGGATCTTAACTGTCTGCAAGAGGATCAGGGCACATTTGGCTCGGCTGACCACAAAGCTGTATAATCTATGTGATTATGTAATTTTGCCCTGTCGCATCAGAAGATCAGAATATCGTCTAGATAAAGGATATACTTTATTCCATGATATACCTTATTCTTATGCCTCTGGAGTACTGGTAACCTTGACAGCTTCACATTTCTTGATATCAGGGCTGCGGCTGCGTAGTGCGGATGCCCAATGGCAGAAGCGTAAAATAATCTAAGTGAAAATCAACTGGAGCTCACCTAGAAAACCCAGAATCTTGCAAGTACAGGTTTGTCTCAGCAGCACAAATAATGTGAATAATGGGGACTCGCACCTTGCCAGTACAACAGTATAACCCAGCTGGGAAACACAAACCTCACTGTGTGCAGTGCAACAACCTGAACTTTGTCACTTAGTATCCAAGTAGCTTAAGGAGGAGCAAAATTATAAATCCAGCAGACACTGCAGCTATGGGTAAAAGGGGATCCTTCCCATGTTCTGGAGAGTCCACAAACATGGAGGAAAGGAAATGGCCATCTTGGCTCTTACTAATGCAAGATGGCCATGGCTGTTTCCCACATGATATTTGTGGGAACAGGCCTGCACCGAACGAATAATGCTCAGCGAATGAGCGCATTCAGCTTTCGCTGCTAAATAAGATACAGCCACGTGGGCAAAAATTAGTAAGATGTTGCAAATCTGAAGGAGGCATTCAGCCACTTGTGGCTGAAACAAATGTTAGAAGCATAGTACACAGGCGCCAAGCATTTGGTGAGCTGAACTGAAGTTGCTCCGGTTGTGGGGAGACTGCCTGCAGCCCAGACAGTCTGCCCACACTGAATTAGGACCCCTGTGGCCATATGATCGCTTAACACGGCGATCACATGGTCACAATAGGTGTCCATGTGTCTGCCTGCAGGGGGACTGTCTGTGCTGACAGGCAGTCTCCCTGCATGTGTAAAATCAGAAAATAAAATAAAGTTAATGTTAATTAAAAAAATAATAATAATTATATATGTGTATATATGATATATAGACATATATTATATCTATATAATATGTCTATATATCATATATATATAATGCCATACTAAGTGTATTTTTATATTAATATGTACTTATATTAATATAAAAATACACTTATAATTAAATTACACACGTATATATATATATATAATATATATAACTATATATATTGTGTATATATATATTATTATAAAATATAAATAATAAGTAATTTAAATTAAATTTTTTTTAAATAATAATAAAAATGTAAAAAAAATTATATATCTATATGAAATTTTATTCTAACTGTATTTTAAAATGAATATATATTTATATCAAAATACACTTAGAATGAATTTGCATATATATCTATGTATATATAAATAAATAAAAATAATACGAAATATACATATGTCCATATACAAAATTACATAAATAATTATATAAATATACACGTAGACTTAAACTATATAAATATGTATATATATTTAAATTCTACGTGCGTATTTATGTAATATTTTTACATAATTCAGTAATTATATTGATTGCAATTTGAGGGACCTGCCTGCCAACCCAGGCCGAAATTCCAGAGAATTTAATTTGCTAGCATTGTATTTTACCCTGTAACGTTCTACGACACCCTAAAACCTGTACATGGGGGGTACTGTTTTACTCGGGAGACTTCGCTGAACACAAATATTAGTGATTCAAAACAGTAAAACATATCACAGCGATGATATTGTCAGTGAAAGTTACTTTTTTTGCATTTTTCACACACAAACAGCACTTTTACTGATGTTATAATTGTTGTGATACGTTTTCCAGTTTTTAAACACTAATATTTGTGTTCAGCGATGTCTCCCGAGTAAAACAGTACCCCCCATGTACAGGTTTTATAGCATTTTTGAAAGTTACAAGGTCAAATATATGGGTCAAATATTTTTACATTGAAAATGGCCAGGTTGGTTACGTTGCCTTTGAGAGCGTATGGTAGCCCAGGAATGAGAATTACCCCCATGATGGCATACCATTTGCAAAAGAAGACAACCCAAGGTATTGCAAATGGGGTATGTCCAGTCTTTTTTAGTAACCACTTGGTCACAAACACTGGCCAAAATTAGCGTTCAATTTAGTTTTTTTACTTTTTCACACACAAACAAATATGAATGCTTACTTTGGCCAGTGTTTTCGACTAAGTGGCTACTAAAAAAGACTGGACATACCCCATATTGAATACCCTGGGTTGTCTACTTTAAAAAAAATATGTACATGTGGGGTGTTATTCAGAGATTTATGACAGATAATAGTGTTACAATGTCACTATTGATAAATTTTAAAAATGTATGTTTTGAAACCGCAATATCCTACTTGTACCTAT